GTCTTATTGCCAGGCCTCTTATGTTCTCCAGAGGCCTGGCAATCTAGGCAATCTAGGTGAACAGAATCAACCTTTTGGGATTTTTTTCTGAACTGGAAGATCATCACAATACAACAGTTTTAGTATTTCTATAGCAAAGTTCATCAAGAAAATGCAGAATTCTGCACTAAACATCCTGAACTTTTGAAACCTAGTGTGATTAAGTCAGCCTACTAAAGTCAATGGATGATAGACAGTGCCCTGCCTTACTTCTGTTATATTCTAGGATATTAGTAGACATCTTGAGACTAAATGTTACCTAATGCTAATGCAGTATTTTCATATAAAGAAATGCTGTATTATTATATTACAAGATAATAAAACTCAAAATGGGATTACTTTTTAAAGGGACAAATATTACACCACCTTCACATAATGGAAGTCATTAGTCACACCTTCCTTTTGTTGCATGAGAAGTTCTGTAAAGAAGATGTAATAGGTTGGACAGGCGGATACTTGCCCTACTATCTCTATTTTTACTTTATGGTTTATTCACTATATATGGTCTACAGAAGACATACCGTTAGTTGTACTGTTATCGCTAGGTTTTTTTTTTTTGCAAACCACATTTCATGTTTCTAATCAGTTTGTTAGATTATAGACCAAAAGTTTCTTGGTATTCCGGAAAGTGAAAAAAAATCCAGCTGAGCGTGTATCTTATGTATGATTTCATATCCTGTCAATATTATAGATACATTTATTGAAAGATTAAAAAAACGTTGCTGTTGTTTTTCATTTTTTGTAATCAGTTGATCAGATGCTTATTTTTTGAATGTTTCAATTTTGTGCAAACGTTGGGTTTTTTTTTCGCATTTATCCACTGTCGAATAAATGATAAATATCTGGAGATGTGCAGACACGGGGATTGCTTAATAACTACCTCACACATAATGGTAGGATGTGACCTGTTATAACCTTTTTACCTGATTGCGAATAGGGAAATAGCACTTCAATAAACTTAGATGTCCCATGCAGCAATGTCTAGTAGAAGTGGCTTTTTGGTAGATAAATACATCTATCTTTAATTAGGTTTATCCTTTATATATTGCTCAAAAATTAAAAGAACACTTTTTAATCAGAGTATAGCATCAAGCCAAATAAACTTTGGGATATTGACCCAACTCCTCCAGGATGGCACATCAGTAGTTGCCATTGCAAGAAGATTTCCTGTGTCTTCCAGGACAATATCTAAAGCATGAAGGTAATTCCAGGAGACAGGTAATTACTCCAGGACAGCTGGACAGGGCTGTTAGAGGTTCTTAACACATCAGTAGGATCATAATCTGCTACTTTTGTGCAAAGAGGAACCAGATGAGCACTGCCAGAATCCTACAAAATGAACTCTGGCAGGCCACTCGTGTGAGTGCCTCTGAACAAACAATCAGGGTGGCTTGAGGGCCCGGCATCCTTTAGTGGGCCTACTCTAGTGTGCTCACTGCCGGGCACTGTTAGGCGTGAATGGCATTTGGCACAGAATATCAGAACTGATAGATCGACCACTGACACCCTGTGCTTTTCAAAATGAGAGCTGGTTCACCCTAAACACATTTGATAATGTGAAAAGGTCTGGAGAAGCCATGGAGAACATTATGGTCCCTGTCACACTGTTCAGTTTAGTGGTGGGTCAGTGATGATCTGTGGAGCCATATCCATGGAGGGATGCACTGACCTCTACAGGCTAGGCAACGGCCGCCTGACTGTCATGAGGCACCGGGATGAAATCCTTGGACCCATTGTCAGACGCTACGCTGGTGCAATGGGTCCTCGTTTGCTCCTTGTACACAACAATGCCTGCCCTCATGTAGCCAGAGTATGTAGGGAGTTCCTGGAGAGTGAAACAATTGATACCACTGACTGGCCTCCACACTCGTCTGACCTAAATCAGAAAAACACATCTGGGACATTGTGTTTCCAACCCCACCAGGTTGCACCTCATACTGTCCAGGAGCTCAGCGATGCCCTGGTCCAGATCTGGTCATCATCTGTCCCCCAGGACATCATCTGTCATCTCATTAGGAGCCCTGACATTGTCAGGCAGGCATGTGGTGCCAATACTAACTACTCCCATAACGTCCATATCAGTAGATATATCCAGTATAATATTTCTTTCCCCATTGTGATCCTTTCCTTTAATTTTTTGAGCAGTATATTAATTTTTAATTTTATTTGTTTTCCACAGAACCATCATGAAATTCCACAGTATGAAGATGGATGAAATCAATAAGATCATACGAGACCTATGGCGCAGCACCTACAGGGGTCAAGGTGTGTCTCACATTAACAAGAGAGCGCTATTATTAATTTGTGGTATTTTCAGAAATACTGTTTTTCCCCCTCCTTACTGTCATTTATCTATTCTCTTCTCTCTCCAGATATTGAGTATGTGGAGATCAGATCTGATGTGGATGAGAATTCATCTGCTGGAGTGAGGCGGAGGGTTTACAACTACAGAGTAGTTATGGTGAAAGGAGACACAGCTCTGGATATGAGAGGACGCTGCAGCGCTGGCCAAAAGGTAAAAAAATGATTATTTTTTTTTTCGGTTTTGTGGTTACATCGCATGAAACCTGCATGTGACATGCAGTAAAAAGGTCAAACTTCTCAGTGAATCAAACATGATGTGACCATTTTGTTGTCTTCCTCTTTAAAAATATGATTGTGTGTGTCTAGGTACTGGCATCGCTGATAATCCGTCTAGCTCTGGCAGAGACGTTCTGTCTGAACTGTGGGATCCTAGCTCTGGATGAGCCCACAACCAACCTGGACCGAGAGAACATCGAGTCACTGGCACATGCCCTTGTAGAGTGCGTATATACGGATTCAGTATTCTTACTGCTATACTTGTGAAAACCCTCATTAATAGGATGCAACAGCTCCTAACATTAACTGACAGCTGTCTCTTTAGCCCCAAAACCAAATCCTTTAAATAGTTTAAGTAGCAAAGTGTCAAAGTACACACTTAGGGAATGTCTAATGTGCTCGGTCCCATTTATAAGCCGCCTCATCACATCTGGAACCTCACTTGGGCTTAAAAGCTGTCATTAAATCCAAGTTAACTTTGTACCAAAAAGGCCCCTTTGATGTAGATATGTTGCTATAGATACTGAGGAGTAGATGGGCTTCAAACCAGGAAATAAAAAGAAGTGCACAGCTGGTGATACTGAATTAAAAAGAACTGTTTAATTATTGCAGTAGTAAAAAACAGACTCCTCTGTTTTAATGTAGATTGGTGCTATCCTTCAAGCCTCATACTGTGTCCCTACACAGTGCCCACTGAAGTGTTACAGGATGTATAGGTTGTCATGCCCATTCCTCTGTAAAAGTTGAACTATTTTGGCTTTACTGGAGCAGACCGTGTAATGTATCGGACAGAGAAACCAGCATCCGACCTGTCAAAACATTAAACACAGACTTCTAGTTGTATACCTTGGCAGCCACTGTCTTCCTTGCAGTGGGATGTAACTCTTTATCTCCTGCTGTTTTCTTCAGAATCATTAAGAGTCGCTCTCGCCAGCGCAACTTCCAGCTGCTGATCATCACTCACGACGAGGACTTTGTGGAGCTGCTCGGGCGATCCAGCTACATTGAACATTTCTATCGTATCCGTAAGAACCAGGATCAGAACTCTGAAATCACAAAGTGCAGCATCAATTCCCTCTCATCCTATCTTCACTGAGCACTGAAGTGATTCGAAAAGCTGCTTTGGAAATGTAAACTAATGCTTTATCTCTTTGCTTTGATTTTATTTGGGCAAAGACCACGTTCAGGTTTGCTTTTCAGGAGGCATGAAGAAAACTCATTCGCACATCATTTGTTTAATAACTGACTATAATTTAACTGATATGCAAAGGCATGTTTGGTTGATAGTGTTTGTTTTTGAAGTCAGTCGTCAATAACCTTATATAAACATATTATAACCGTAATTATCCTTAAGAAACTGTTAGAAGAAGTGCCAAAACAAAAGCAATAGGCTTCTGTTAACATCAGAAATATTTAAGGACAAAAAGCTTGATTCTAATCCATGAAGAATTTGCTTGTTGTGCTGGAATCCAGCGTGAGGAAAAGAGCTGTTTGGATTTGTTTTGGGGGAAAAATAAATCTGCTAAAAACTGTCGAAACTTTTCTACATATTTATTGAAATACTGCTCTGACTAGTGACCAGCAGCCATCAGATGGCATTTTCAGCAACAGCACATGCTTTGCTTAAAAAAATAGGGGGAAATTACACATTGAAATTCATATATAGCTAAAAAAAAAAAAAAAAACCCTAAAGAACACATAAGTCACATATCAAATTGTGATGAATGGAATATTCAACTTGAAAATCTTAGCTGGTGTACATTTGTCATTAGCTGAGAATAAAATTACAGAACATTCAGTGGAAACCAAAGTTATTAACCTATTATCACACCACAAATCAAAGGTAAGATTATTTAATTGCTGTAGATTTATTTCAGAGAAACACAGCGCCTTTATCTCAAAGTTGCTCATTGACCACAACTTAATCAAGAATTTTGTCACACAATTCGTACATTTTTTTTTCTTGCAATTGGCAAATGTGATAAGGCGTGGGCAAAGCAAGTATAAGTAATCTGTTATCTGCCAAGACTTCAGAACAAACTTCAAGGGCTTTTTTTGAGGACGCATCTTCTAAAGGTTTTCACTCTAAGTACAAGTATGGAAATGATGATGATGATGCTTGTGCTAGTGTCTGCTGCGCTGATGAGTCCATGTGCTGCAAATCCCGTCCGGAGTCTCAACCTAGACCATATCATTGACTTGGCTGACCAATACAATAAAACTATGTATGAGGTAAGGGCTCATCTCATAAGAACGAGTGTTTTTTTGACTCTTAGCTTGAACATTTTATAACGTTTTTGGTGCCTTGACTTGTTAAAAAACTTGAAAGTGTGTTAAAATTTTAAATGTTGACAAATATTTTTTCTATTTAATGTGGAAGAAGTTCTATGTTGAGGATGTGACACACTTGGTTAAATCTGGATGTGGGGTAAGAGGATCCTTTTCCATCTCTTTGAAACTGTGTTCCCTGTAGAGCATTCAGTTTTATTGGATTACATTTTTAAATGTCATTCATTTTAAACACGTCTGAAGTGAATATGTTCTCGCTCCTGTTGCATACAGAATAAGTTTTTCTGCAGAGTGCATGACATCCTGAAAAAGCATGACAGAACGGAGGATAAGAAGATTGTGAGAAACCTGGACGTGTTTTTTAAAGAAGGAAATGTAAGATATCTTTTTGCCAAATGAAAATGTCCCATCTATGTTACAAATATGTAAGGATTATGTACTAATGGCATTTGCAATACAGTGAGCGAGATCATACTGAACCCAGGTGTTTTCTTATCTTTTAGGTGAACTGCACAGAAGAACTAATTAACGTGCCTCATGCAACAACCGAAAAGCCAATACCGTTTCTGCTGGAAAACCTTGCAAACTGCATTCGCCGGAGAAACTTCATGGGAATCTAAAAACAAAAATGCCTGATTAGCTTCGTGATCCGTGAACTGTCTGACATCTGGTAACGTCTTCAAATGTTTTTCATAGTCACAGTTTGATACAGTTAAAGTACTGGATATTTATTTTCTGGTATAGTTTTCTCTTTTATGCAGTTTATTTGTTATTTAATAGCAACTACATTCAGTGCTTTCACAGGGACGTTTTTGGTTGAGTTATTTTTAAGCTGCATAAGTAAAAATGCATCCGTCGCTGGCATTAAACTTTACAACAGTTAAGGCAGCAACTGCACATTATTGTAAACTGCATATTTATATTTTATTTAAAACAAGTTCAGTTCACATTTTGATATGTTTGGATGTTTGTTGTAGTTCTTTCACTCCACATTGAAACAAGTGTTTACAGAACAAGAAGTCGTTTTTCTCACAAGCTGCATTTGTATGGAAATGCTTTGTACTTTATGTTAAGACAGTCAGCTTTAACAGACATTTTGATCCTGTTTTATTTTTATATTAAATTTTGATGACGCCTTACTTCTGACAAGCTGTCTCGTATTATTCAGTCCTTCAGTCCCTATTGTCTGAAAAGAGGACATACTTGTCAATATTTTCAGTTCAGTATCTTGACTTCTGTTATAATTACTTTGCATGATTGGTTCAATGCTACACTCCCTGTAAGCCAGCTGTCTTCTGATTGGTAGCTCCTCCTACATAGAAGGTTTAGGAGTAGCTGGTTGTACTCACAGCCACAACTGTGTACCTTAGATTCATGTACCGTATTTTTCGGACTATAAGGCACACTTAAAATCCTTCAAGTTTTCTCAAAAATCATATGTAGTGTGCTTACTGACCTCAAACCAATTTTATGTGGTACAAGGCGCTTAAAAATCTGTCAAAAAATGTTTCAGTACAACTTTGGCAAGCTACGAAGCCGCACCGCTTGATGGATTGTTGGAGCATTACGGCTACTGTAGTCAGGAGCCTCATGGAATAATCTGGGTCCAAAACTCCGTCCGCTTTAGGTCCCAAAGTCAGACAAATACTGCAGCATCACTGAGAGTTAAAAACTGTCTAAATGTTTTCATCTTTAATAAAATGATGAGTGTTGCTGCTTCACCAGGTGTAACAATTAAGTTTAACATCCAGGCATCCATGAAAACAGAATTTATTACATTTAATGGAGTAGGAAATTAGCAGGACGTTAGTTCACTAGTTTCTACCTAAACATGATATAGCATGTTCTGACTGAGAGATTGGCGGTCTGAAAAAATACAGTAAGCATATTCCTAAGAGAAACCACTCTTGTGTATATACAACTACCAGCCATTTTGTTAGGTACACCTGTTCAGCTACAGCATCATGTTGACCTTTGAATCAAACAGACTAGCAGCAGATTCTGCTTTTGACATCTAAGAACAGGAAACTCAGGCTACAGTCCACAGAGGCTCACCAAAATGAAACAAGGAGACTGGAAATCGATTTTTTTTTTTTTGTTCTGATAACATTGAGACGGTGTTGTGTGGCAGGTGTTTTGTTGCCAGACTTTTTAACGCTTGTGGGGTGGCTCTAGCGCAAGAGACACCACAGATCATCTACTCATCTGCTGATCAGAGGATTGGTGGTTTGAGTCCTGGCTGCTTTGATCTGCATGGCAAATATGCTTATGTAAAATACTAACCTGCATCCATTGGAGCATTAATGTGTGCGATTGGTAGATGGAAAGCATTTAAGCATAGAAGAAAGTGCAGGTGTGAATGGGTGAATGAGGCATGTTGGATTAAGCACTTTGAATGTTCTGGGAGTAGAAAAGCAGAATCGGTCCATTTACCACTTCAAATCAAATCACTTGTATTGTCACATCACATGTGCAGGTACACTGGTACAGCACATGTAAGTGAAATTCTTGTGTGCAAGCTTCACAAGCAACAGAGGTGTGCAAAATACAATGACATAAGAACAAAGCAAAATATAAGAATGAGAATTCTAAGAACAAATATAAGAATGTCTGCGGTGTCTCTTGAGCTAGAGCCACCCCGCAAGCGTTCCCAAGTCTGGCAACAAAACACCTGCCACACAACACTGTCTGAATGTTATCAGACCAAAAAATCGATTTCCAGTCCCCTTGTTTCATTTTGGTGAGCCTCTGTGGACTGTAGACTGAGTTTCCTGTTCTTAGATGTCAAAAGCAGAATCTGCTGCTAGTCTGTTTGATTCAAAGGTCAACATGATGCTATAGCTGAACAGGTGTACCTAACAAAATGGCTGGTAGTTGCATATACACAAGGGTGGATTCTCGTAGGAATATGCTTACTGTATTTTTCAGACCATAAGGCGCATTAAGTGAAACAGAACAGCCAGATAAGTCAAACTTTGCTCAACTCATTCTCCTTACTTTCTCCATTTCCGTACCATTGATTCATTAATGTTGAATATGCATACCAAATATGTATATATACAAGTGTGTGTGTGTGTGTGTGTGTGTGTGTACATATGTATAAAATAAAATATACAATATACAAAGGTTAGCAGTGGATGCACTGCATTCAGCATGATATGGTGCATTTCCATCAGGATAATGCACCATATTACCTATAAATCTCTCCTTGGGCTGGTTCCCTCTTATTTATGTGTTTATATGTGTAAAAACCACAACCAGTACAGCCTTAATTTTCACAATATCTGTCCCAAAAATCAGAACAGAATTGGGGGAAAGGGCATTTAAATACGCTGCCCCTGCTTCCTGGAATAATCTGCAGAAGGAACTAAAATTATTAGAATTGGTTACCTTGGGGGAGTTTAAGTCCATCTTAAAGGAACGAGGGAATAACTCTTTTACTCAGTGTGATTGTTTTTAATATCGCTCTTAATTTGATCTGTTATTGTATATTTTTCACATGTTCGTACGGGGATATTGTATTTGTTTTAAATGTTATATACTTATGAGGTACATGCATTTTTGACTTTTGTTGCCATGATGCCAGGTCTCTCTTTTTTTAATCTCAATGAGATTTTTACGTGGATAGATAAAGGACTAATAAAAAAAAAATAGTGATCATAAATCACGAAGCTCAAATCATCTCAGACTTGTTTCTTGGTAAGAAAATTAGGGCAAAACTGCAGATTACAGTTACTGTTTGACCAAACGATTGAGGAAACGGCTAAAACATCAGATGTTCATGAATTAAATAATCAAGTCGAAAAATGTTTACTGCCAAACTCTGTGTAATCTGTACAGTAGAAACGGATGAAATAGTAATCAGTCTAAACAAAAACCAGCACCTGTATGAGGGCGGGATTGAAAACCACATCAGAAATCAAACTTCAGACTAGTCAAGTCTTCTCAACTTTATGAGAATATTTTCAAGTAACCATTGTAAATAGATGTCTGTTGTTGTTTTCTTCTTCTCCTTTTTTGTAATGCAGCCCACCGTATAGACTCATTTCAGAGAAACTGTTCTCCTTTCTCAAGCTGCGTATTGACCACAACTTAATCATGAGTCTTATCTCTCCATCGCTGCAGACTGCATTTGGGGTTTTTTTTGTAATTGACAATTGTGGTGAAGGCGTGGGCAAAGCAAGTATAAATAATCTGTTCATCAGCCAAGACCTCACAGCAACCTGCAAGCTGACAATTGAGCAGAAATACTTTAAAGGCTTTTCAGCTTTTCAGCCAACTAATAACAAGTATGGAGATGATGACGTTTGTGCTGGTGTCTACTGTGGCCCTGCTTATCAGTCCATGTGCTGCAAATCCCATCTACAATATGAACTTAAACAATATCATTGACCTTGTTCAAGAATACAGTAAAACTTTGAATGAGGTAAGACCGTATCTTATACATTTAACTGCCTCTTAGCATTCATAGAGCTTTTTGTTGTTCTTGTTGTTAGTTTACTTTTATTTTTTCTGCTTTGTTCAAGTTTTTAAAACTTGATTGTGACAATTTGTCTCTCCAACGTTGCAGAGTATCTATGTGGAGGATGTGACACACTTGGTTGAATCTGGATGTGGGGTGAGAAGACTACTTTTCATGTCTTTGAAACAGTTTGCAAGCTTTCCATTCAGGTTTCTTTTTTGAGAGACTGCAATAAGAACAGTGATCTCTTTTTAACATTTTAATTGTGTTTATTTGTAACGCTAATACTTGTTTATGTTTCATACAGAATAATTTCATCTGCAAAGTGCACGAGATCCTGGAAAACCATGCCACAAAGCAGCAGAAATATAAAGAGAAGGAGATTGTGAGAAACTTGGAAGTGTTTATTAACGGCACAAATGTAAGATATCTTCTCTGACATATTTCCTATATAAGGTATACATCAAATCTGTGTTACGCACCTTTAGAGACAATGTACTAAATCTACCTGTTGTGTCTTTGGTGAGACAAAGAATCTGCAAAACAATAAAACATATTGTACTGAGCTCAGCTGATTTCTTGTCATTCAGGTGAACTGCACTGAAGTACTGAAGACTGTGCCGAAGGCAAGAACTGAAAAGCCAATACCGGCTTTGCTGGAAAACCTCAAGATATGCATTCAGAAGAGAAACTTCAGTGGAAAATAAAAACACGCCTGGATACCTTCCAGATCTGTGGACTGTCTGTCATAATGCTTCCAAGTCATTTTCTTTGTTTTTTTTTTTTTTTTTTTTTTTGTAATTTATCACAATTCAAGCATTGGATATTTATTTCATTCTATAGTTTAAGACAGTATTTTTCTTCCTTTTTATGCAGTTGATGTTATTTAATAGTAGCTATATTCGGTACATTAGCAAAGACATATCTGACTGAGCTGTGTTTAATTGCATTTTTAAAAATGTATGTGTAGCTGTCGTCAAACAGCACAACAGATCAACTTGACATGTTATTGTACAACTGCGTATTTATTTTTTATTTAAGTTAAGGATTTTTAATATATTTGTATTACATATTTATTGCAATTGTCTCACATTGAACCAAGTGTTTACAGAACAATAATAAATCACTTTTATCCACAAGTCCCAGTTTGTATGGAAATGCTTTGGGCTTTATAGCAAGACAATTAACTTTTACACACATTTGGCTGTTAAGATCACATTTTGATGATGGCGTAATTTGTGGCTCAGTATTTTAGTTCTTGGCTTCTGTTAGCATAACTTTGCATGATTCATTTATACTGACCGAGCTGCAGACTCTCAGTCCATCCACTGTCTGAAATTAGCCTTTTGCTTGAAAACTACACTCCCTAAGCTACTTTTCTCATTGGTTGCTCATCCCTAACAGAAGGTTTAACCTGCAGGTGGGTGGAGCTGCTGTACTGACTGACAGAGCTGTGTACCTGAGATAACAATATTAAGGATACCACCACCTCTCAGTCTAACATTGTGTGTATGCATATACACTTACTGGCCACTTTTGTATGTATATCTTTTCTACTGCTCATTAACAAAAATATCTAAGCAGTTAATCACATGGCGGAAAGCAAATATTTATACATGGTAATGATGCCCTGCTAAAGTTTAAACACAGCATCAGAATCAGGACCACAAGTGATTT